TGGGTGCCCACAGGCACCAAAAGGTATGTGCAAAACTATTCATAGCAACATAATGTGCAATAGCCCCAAATGAAAACCAACCCCAAATCCCACCAACATAGAATGGATAAGTTGACTGTGGTATACTTCTATCATGAATTCCATGTGGTAATGAGAATAATGAACAGAATCTATGCAAAATGTGAATACATTTCACAAATATATATAAAGTTCAAAACAGTCAAAATTAATATAAAGTGTTGAAAGGTTAGTGCTTATACCTCAAAGGACTAGTAAATGGGGGGGGGGATACAGGGGTCTACTGGGGTGCCAATAATGTTCTACTCCTTGACCTAGGTAGGAGTTATGTGGGTGACATAGGTGTGTTCACTTTGCACAAATTCACTAAGCTGTATGTTTATAATTCATGCACTTTTCTGCATGTAAGTTACACTTCAATGAAAAGCTTTAAAATCCTGATTTGTCTAAATAAATTACTTTTGCATGAGCAACTTTAGTACTGCTCAAACGTAGCTCATCCCTGATTAAAGCAGACTTGTTTGTTGCTCTGCTCTGACAGTGACCACACCACCATTCCCCAGAGAGTTCCCAAAGGGTTGAGAGAGCAGGTCAACATCTGCCTTTGCAGTTGTGCGTGCAAGAATACATTTCAGGAGGCTGCCACATGGGAAGTTCAGCCCCTGCCTCCACTGCTACAAACATATGTTCATTCTGTGTGTCCAGAAAGTAAAAAAGAAGGAAACACGCAAGCAGGATAAGCCAAACACAGCAAACATCTCCCCCAAATGGCAAAGCTCCCCGGCCTGTCCCATTTTTAACAGCCAATGACACTAGCACTATCTTGCAGGAAAAACAAGAACTCTAACCCCAGCACCCTAAAGACGCAGATGGCACCTCTAGACAAGAGACCCAAAGCACAGGGCAGCAAACTGAAGCTGTTCAAAATTCCATGGTAGGGCCCGATGAAGTCATAAATGGAACCAGATTTCCTGTTTCCCAGAGTACAGCCTGCTTCTCATTAGCCCTTACTGCTTCTTACAGGACCAGGGGGCTTGAAAATCTTAAAGGACAAAAGTACAACAACATGTTAGATCAAGGACTGGCTATCTCCATCCATGGGCCAAGAACGTTTAGTCTAGGGCCACACACACACCATACTCCCTGGCTCCCTCTGCTGCTTTGGAGAGCTTCTAACACCACTTCAGCTCCTTGTATCTCCTATGTCAGTTCCCAGGGGCAAAAGAGTGAGGATCTTGAAAACCACTTTGATAGGCAGCCACTTTCAGACTTTCTCCAACTGGATTGCATTTGGAAAAGCTGGCCTTCTCTTCTTCCCTCCCAATGGTCAGAGGGACACTAGCCATACTTTTTGCACCTTTGCATGATGTGGTGGTGTTGTCAGAACTCTGGAAGCTGGGCCATAAGGTATTCTCAACCACAACAGCAGAAAAATAGAACGAGAGCAGAGGTCAGGACTGAGCCTGCTCGAGCTCCTCCAAAGCCTAAATGAGTACTGGCCGTAGCGGAGACACCCTAGGGTATGCATAGTTGAAGCCCAATGCCAGGAGTTTTCTGGCAGTGGCAACACTCAAAGTCAGGTAGATGGCACAACAACACGCACACAAATGAGTTCACTGCAGCACTGTCGTCAAAGAGAAAAATGTGAAGCATCCAACAACAAAATGTGTTACATTATATGATATCATTATATACAATGGATTATCATGCAGCCATGAAAAAGAATCAGGCAGCTCTATACTAACTAACACAGAAAGTGGTCTACACTTTAAAGTTAAATGGTAAAGGCAAGTTGGCGATAACTACATATAGCATGATTCCATTTATATATTTTAAAAATCCTGTATGCATACACATACGATCTCACGCACGCTAGCACTGTTAAATGATCTAGAAGGATACACACTTATCAGGTTACCTCTGGGGAAGGGAATGGAAGTAGGAGGTGAGGGGGAATCTTTCCAAATTTGCCATTTTTTGTTTCTATAGTATTTGTTTATGCTGTACCAGTAGCTCTATAGTAATTTTAAAAGCAATCTAAAAAACCAAGGCCATGGAAATAGGGTATGGAGGAGGCACATCTGATGGGGGTGGTCAGCACAGCCAGAGGCTTCTGTGGGTCAGGACCAAGGGCTGGGAAGCAGATTCACCCAGAATTTTGGGAGATGCTCCAAGCTCCTGGTTATGCATAACAGATTTTTCTCCTGTTTTCCCTCTTTGGGATCATGTGCTCTTGGTTCTCTTTGGGTCACTTCCAACCCAGGGCAGCTAGAGGAGAAGAGCCCCTCCCTAGAAAGGCCCAGGGAGGATGGCTGGGGACCATTTGGCCTGAGGCCTTCAGAGGAAACCTCCATTTCCTTGGGGTTCTTTTCCTGGGCCTTTGCCACCACCGGACAAGATCTCCAGGGGCTGAGGAAAAGGGCCCCCAGCACTTGGCCAACCTTTAGTCAAGCCTACTGTTGTTCTCTTGGGGAGGTTTTTTAAAAAATATAAGCCTCAAATATAGACATACACAGTGAAATATAGAATAAATGCTTTGTTATGTTAGCAAATGACCGATGCTGGGTAAAATGGAAATTTTCACCCATTCTGGAATGAGTGTAAATTGGTTTAAAGCCTTTCGAAAAGCAACTGGACAATATCAAGAGTCTAAAATATTTTCAGGGACTTTCCTGGTAGCGCAGTGATTAAGAATCCACCTGCCAATGCAGGGGACACGGGTTCGAGCCCTGGTCCGGGAAGATCAGACATGCCGCGGAGCGCAACTAAGCCCGTGCTCCACAACTACTGAAGCCTGTGTGCCACAGAGCCCTCAGGCTGCAACTACTGAACCTGTGTGCCGCAACTACTGAAGCCTGCACACCTAGAGCCCGTGCTCCATAACAAGAGAAGCCACCGCAGTGAGAAAGAGTAGCCCCCGGTCCCCGCAACTAGAGAAAGCCCGTGCACAACAACAAAGACCCAGTGCAGCCAAAAAATAAATAAATAAAATAAAATATTTGCATACTATTTTATCCAGTAATAAAACTTCTGGAAATTTCTCCTAATGAAATACATAATGCCTCAAATAGGAAAACTTATGTGAAGATTGCTCTCATTGTTTCCTTTTATTATAGCTAAAAATTGGAAACAAACTAAATGTTCAACAAACAGCAGGTGACTGGTTAAATATGTGAGCTTGGGACTTCCCTGGCGGTCCAGTGGTAAAGAATTTGGCTTCCAACGCAGGGGATATGGGTTCGATCCGTGGTCGGGGAACTAAGATCCCACATGCCGCGGGGTAACTAAGCGTGCGCGCCACAACTACTGAGCTTGCGCGCCTCAACTAGAGCCCGTGTGCTGCAAACTACAGAGCCCGCGTGCTCTGGAACCTGCGTGCCACAACTAGAGAAGAGAAAGCCCGCACGCCAAAACTAGAGAGAAGCTCGTGCGCTGAAATGAAAGATCCTGAATGCCACAACTAAGATCCCGCGTGCCGCAACAAAGACACGACATAAATAAATAAATAAATACATTGGATTATTTAAAAAAAAAAAATGTGTGCTGCATGCAACATTGCACAAAAATTAAAATTATAAAGAAAATTTGTAATAATAAGTTCAAACGTACTAGTGATGGCCTTGTAGCACTTTTTTTATACAAAAGTACTTTTGTACTTATACAAAAGCTCATTTCATAAGAAAGAATAAACATGTTCAGGCCTCATCCCAGTCTAATTAAATCAGAAGCTCAGGAAGCGGGGCCTAGACATCAGAATTTTTTTATGTTTCCCCAGATGACTCTAATTGAAGCCAAGGGTGACAGAGAACCATTGGCTTTAGATCAAAGTGAGACCGCCCACTTCAGTTGTGGCCCAGTCCAGCTCAACTGGATGGAGTTCTACATGGGGTACTGAATGGCCTATGTTTCCCTGGCCTTGTCTCCAAATATAATGACTAGTGGGTTGGGTGGTGGCCCCCCACCCAGTAGGAGGCTAATCATACATTTAAGATTAGGGCCAAATAGCTTTACACTTTATCACAACCAGCAGGCCGGCAGACTCATTAGGAAGTAGATAGTTCAGATAATCTCAGTAAGATGCATGAGGTCAGAACAGGGTACGAGGCATGGCAGAGGCAGATCCTCCACAGCTAGGCACCTGAGCTAAAGAGTTGGAACCAAATCCCGTAATGTATGTCATCTGTCGAGGGGGGGATGCAGCCCTACAGAGCCCCTGGCTGCCTGCCTGCTGGTGTCAACCTCCACAGTCTTGCTAGCAGGGATAAAAGCAGAAAGCTTTAGAAGATTTGCCACTAGGAGATTCTGGTTTCTACAGGGCTCTTTAGAAGAAGCTGTGACATCAAATTTGCTGTTGGGCCAAAGGAAACAAATGAAAATTGAATAGGAGAGAGAAAACTCAGGAAAGGTAGACAGCAAAAGGGAACCATCAGCAGAATATAATGACCCCTTTATGGCATCCAGGCTCCCTGTTGCCTGTAATTCCACTATGAGATTAATTCCACTTGGGTTATTAAGAATTGCCCCTTCATAGCTGTCCTCTTTGAAAATGAGGACTCCTAAAAGGAATGACACTTTGATTCAGCAACAACTTAATGGAATTAGCTCATGATTTACTCAGCCAATTTGAATGCCTACTCTGGGTTTGGTACTGCACTGGGAACTGGGATACAGTGGAAGGAAGACCTCGTTAAAGTGACTAAGAAGACTCCATTTATTTTATTTATTTATTTTTATTTTTGGCTGCATTTGGTCTTTGTTGCTGCTGTGCACAGGCTTTCTCTAGTTGTGGTGAGCGGAGGCTACTCTTCGTTGCAGTGCGCGGGCTTCTCATCGCCGTGGCTTCTCTCGTTGCAGAGCACGGGCTCTAGGCGCGTGGGCTTCAGTAGTTGCGGCACGTGGGCTCAATAGTTGTGGCTCGTGGGCTCTAGAGCGCAGGCTCAGTAGTCGTGGCTCACAGGCTTAGTTGCTCCGTGGTGTGTGGGATCTTCCTGGACCAGGGCTCGAACCTGTGTCCCTGCCTTGGCAGGCAGATTCTTAACAACTGCGCCACCAGGGAAGTCCCAGAAGACTCCATTTAATTCAGAAGTATCTACTGAACATGTCTTGTCACCGGACAGGGAGCTGGTGCTGAGACAGGAGGAAAACAACACTGTTACCTCCCTCAAGGAGCTTCTAACCTTGCTTGGGGAAATCCAAGCACACAAGAGACAAAACAAGCAACTGCTTGTTAAACTGCTAAGATAATCAAGGGCCAACATGAAGAGCGGAGCTAAGTGCCTTCATGTCAAATAGCCTTTTCAGAAACCCTCATGATTAAATCACACTAAGTCTTTTCATTAGGGAGCCTGGAAAATAAGCTATTATAACACCACTCTTTTCTAAATAGTAACACGAGTGTGACTTTCTGGTTCTGAGGCCTCACCTTAGTTTCTACCCTACACCCTATAGCTCTGGCTAGGCTGAGTGCTACTTAAAGGGAGTTATTCATTAAGCATTTACAGGGTGCACGGGGTCCACCCACTTTCTCTGCCTGTGCCCCCAACTCTGGCCACTTGCCATGTCTTGGTGGTGGGCTGAGTGGTTTCACATTGACTAACCACGCACAAGATACATGGTTTCTGTCTATCACAGTCATGCTCACAGGGCTCCAGCTGTCACTGGGAAGGGAGAAATGTGACTGTCGCCCAGCTGGAGTAAGGAAGCAAGATTTAGGAACGGAGAAGTAGGTGTGGCTCAGAATCTAGCCATCAAGCAGGACCAGACAGGGAGACATGACCAAGTGTTGAGGTGCTGTGCCTTTTAATGTAACTATCATTAGTAAATTGTGTTATTCTGGACGTATATTCCAGGCCAGATATTCTTTGGAGCTGCGTCAAAAGTCCATTAGGAATGAGGAGTGTAGACTAGTGCAGGAACCGAATCAGCATCTAGCCTGTAGGAGGAGCAGACTCATTGGCACCAGAGATTGCAAAAGACTGGAAGAGGAACTGGAAATCAAATCTGGGATTGCCAAGGAAGAGCAGCACAACAAAATCTAAGTCCAGGCACTGAGGTGGCATGAGCCTTGGAGCGGGAGAGCCCAGAGTAGAGCACAAGATGAAGATGGGGGTTCAAAACCAGGGCAGCTAATTGATGTCTTCAGACTAAGCAAAATACTGGAACAGTGGTTGCCTCAGGTGGGTGGGGGGGGACTGACTGGGAAGAAACACGATGGGACTTTCTGAGAAGATACAGAGATGAATGTCCCCTATCTTGAAAGAAGTGTGGGTTATATGGGTACAGCTATTTGTCAAAAGCCGTTGAACTGTATACTTAGGATTTGTGCATTTCAATGTATGTAAATTTTACCTAAAAAAACAGTAAACAGATCGAACCTTGGTTAGGTTTACTTTTAGTAGTGCTAGGAATTAGCAATTCTGAAACTACAAGCTGTATATTCTTGGGCACGAGGTAAGTGGGAGTCTGATTTCCAATTGTTGGGGAGAGAAATTACAGATACAGAAAAGGTGTTTTTTGCATTGGAATTGGAGTTATCCATATAACTGTATATGACTAATATATCTCTATATATGCCTCCAATATATTTCTAATACATTATTAGAAATAATAATCTATTTATAGATAGAAAATAATCTATTTCTGTGTGTTTATGTAGGTAATATAATCTAATTCTGTCTGCTAAAAGGGACTAGAAGCAATGACACAGTGGGAATGAGCATATTTAACCCCCAGACCTTGGTTTCTAAATCCCTGGTTCCCCACTGAAGGAACCAGGGATCCTTGAGAAATGGCTTGTTCCAGGGTTGGGGGCAGGAAAAGTACAGGATGAGCCTGGAACATCTTGTTGAGCCAAAAAGTAAAGAAATACTCAAAGAATCATGTTGAAAGGACTCAGAAGCTAGCTTGATGGGGCTCCCACTGGCCCAATCTGGGACAATCTCGCATCAAAATAAATAATATTTGTAATGGATTATACCCCACTAAATAAAAGAAGAATCCATATTGATATAAATAAATAAATGAACAAATAAATAAATGGAGGTAAAGAGAAACCTCTTCACTACTTCACTATTTGGTAGAACACCAAAATAACAGGTAGAAAACTGATAGGGAAAAGTTTGACAGAAAATTAGATAATTACTGGACTTCCCTCATGGCACAGTGGTTAAGAATCCGCCTGTCAATGCAGGGAACACAGGTTCAATCCCTGGTCTGGGAAGATCCCACATGCCATGGAGCAACTAAGCCCATGCGCCACAACTACTGAAGCCCACGCGCCTAGAGCTGGTGCTCCGCAACAAGAGAAGCCACCTCAATGAGAAGCCCGTGCACCGCAACGAAGAGTAGCCCCCGCTCACTGCAACTAGAGAAAGCCCGTGCGCAGCAATGAAGACCCAACACAGCCAAAAAAATTAAAAAAAAAAAAGAATGCGTCTCAAAAAAAAAAAAAGTACAATTACAGTGTTGCAAAGTATGCCCCCCAATTACTTATTGACTACAAATGAAAAAATAATAACTTCACAGTTATTATTAAGGCAGAAAGCACTTAATCAAGTAATCAAACCTAACAACGCTATATTGATATAAACCAATATCCAATACCATGTGCCTTGGATTGGGATACTTGGAGAAGGACACACCAACAATTCTGTGATATTCCTGCCAAAAATGCATAACCTGAATCTAATCATGGAAACATGAAACAAACTCACATTGAAAGACATTCTACAAAATAACTGGCCTGTACTCTTTTAAAATGTTAGGGTCAAGAAACATAAAGAAAAGCTGAAGGAATGTTCCAGAATAAAGGAAAATAAATAGATCTGACAACTAAATGTTGTGTGTGATCTTGGATTTGGTCCTGGACTTGGAGAGAAAAAAAAAAAAGTAAGGACATTTTGGGAACAATTGATGAAATAGATAGTAGTATTGGATTAATGCTTAATTCCCTGATTGTGTTAACTGAACTGTGGTAAGAGAATGTCTTCCTGGAAAATGCACACTGCAGTATTTAGCAGTAAAGGGGCACCACATCTCCAACTCATTTTTAAAAGGGAGGGAGGGAAGGAAGGGGTGGGAGGAGAGAGAGAGAGAGAGAGTGTGTGCACCCAAGTGCAAATAAGGCAAGAATGCAAATAAATGGATCAAAGATTGTAGGAGCTCCTTGTACTGTTCTTGTAATTTTTCTGTAAAATTGAAATTGTATCAAAACAAAAATTCCTCTTTACCAAGTGGTGCTGGGGAACTTGGACAGCCACATGTAAATCAATGAAGTTAGAACACACACAGCATACACAAAAATAAACTCAAAGTGGCTTAAAGACTTAAATATAAGACAAGATGCCATAAAACACCTAGAAGAGAACATAGGCAAAACATTCCCTGACATAAATCATACCAATGTTTTCTTAGGTGAGTCTCCCAAGGCAATAGAAATAAAAGCAAAAAATAAACAAATGGGACCTCTTTAAGCTTATAATCTTTTACACAGCAAAGGAAAGCATAAACAAAATGAAAAGACAACCTATGGAATGGGAGAAAATATTTGCAAATGATGCGACAAACAAGGGCCTAATTTCCAAAATATACAAACAGCTCATAAATTCAATAACAAAACAAAAAAAACGACCCAATCAAAGAATGAGCAGAAGACCTAAATAGACATTTCTCCAAAGAAAACATACAGATGGTAAATAGGCACATGAAAAGATGCTCATCATCGCTAATTACTAGAGAAATGCAAATCAAAACTACAATGAGGTAGTGACTACCTCACACAGGTCAAACTGGCCATCATTAAAAAGTCTACAAATAATCAATGTTGGAGAGGGTGTAGAGAAAAGGGAACCTTCTTACACTGTTGGTGGGAATGTAAATTGGTGCAGCCACTATGGAGGACAGTATGGAGGTTCCTCAAAAAACTAAAAAATAGAGTTGCCATATGATCCAGCAATCCCACTCCTGGGCATATAGACAGACAAAATATAATTTGAAAAGATGCATGTGCCACTGTGTTCATAGCAGCACTATTTACAATAGCCAAGACATGGCAACAAACTAAATGTCCACTGACAGATGAATGGATAAAGAAGATGTGATTATATATATATATATATATATATATATATATACACACATACATACAGTGGAATATTACTCAGCCATTAAAAAGAATGAAATAATGTCATTTGCAGCAACATGGATGGACCTAGAGATTATCATACTAAGCGAAGTAAGTCAGACAGAGAAAGACAAATACCATATGATATCACGTATATGTGGAATCTAAAATACAACACAAATGAACATATCTATAAAACAGAAACAGACTCACAGACACAGAGAACAGACTTGTGGTTGCCAAGGGGTGGGGGAGGGGAAGGGAAGGATTGGGAGTCTGGGATTAGCAGATGCAAACTGTTATATATAAGATGGATAAACAACAAGGTCCTACTGTATAGCACAGGGAACTAGATTCCATATCCTGTGACAAACCATAATGGAAAAGAATATGAAAAAGAATATATATATGTATAACTGAGTCACTCTGCTGTACAGAAGAAATTAACACAACATTGTAAATCAACACTATATTTCAATGAAATTTTAAAAATAAATTAAAAAAATAAAAAGATCCTCCCCAAAATGAAAGAAAGCAAACAAATCTACGGGTGTGGTCAGGAACCAGGCAACACTCTGGCACTAGCAGCCAAGAGGCCTGTGTTTCCTGCTGGGGCGGGAGCCAGTCCAAAGTATGGCCATTCCAGGGACTGCAGGAGGGGAGGGGTAGCCACCCTGTGGGGTAGGCTTAGTGGGCTGGAACTCGTGTTATGTAAATTCTGTCATCGACTAGACCACAAACTGGGGTGCAGTTCCTGGTAGAGCATGGAACTTATACCATCATGTCCTTATAGCAGAGAGGCCTTACAGCTGTTTTGTGTCAGATGACTCATAGATATGATGCAGCAAACAGAAAATCATTGGGAAATGTGTGAACTGTGGTCAGGTTTCATCTCTTTTTATAAAACTGACTATTGTTTAAGTCTTCTGCTATTGTTACAGCCCATCTAGAGATAGAAATGTGTTTGCATTTTTGCAAGGAGGTCTGAATTTTTTAAATCTGGTAA